GAGACCAGTTCTGGTCCCAATGCCCTCTGTATAGCAGCTGGGTGACCCCTCCTGGGACCAGTTTTTCACCTACAAAATAAAGAGAATTGAAAAGGGAGGACACGGGACAAGAAAGTGTAGAGCTAAGAAAGAGCCATTATTCCTGCAAGGAGGCCTTCCCACGGGAAAGCATCTACTAGTGTGGATCATCCAGTGTACTGCCAGGGGCCTGGGGAGGAGTTCCACTGGTGGAGGGAGAACAGGTCAGACTCGGGCTACACGACGCCTTCTCTATTACTGAGCCAGAGGCTTCCTCCACCCTCTGGACTGGCTGCACCCTGGAGGAAGCGCCCCCTGCCCTGGGCCACAGACACAGGCTGCTCTGTAATTTGACGCTGTGGATTCTGTGAGGTCCTAGACTCATTCCTTTCCACTGGGCAGTGTCCTCCTTAGAGAGATAAGAGTCTGTCTGTGCAGCTGTCACTGAATACCTCAATTGGAAACAAACAGAAAAGATGAGAAATATTTGTGGCAAAAATAAGGAACTGGCAGATAAAACCCAGTCTTGGCCACCCAGACCAATTCCTTTAAGCATCTTCCCAAGGCAACATGAGCCCCCACAGCCAATAGTACCTCGCCAGGGAGGGGAGGGAAGGCAGTGGTTATGAAGAAACCCGCACCTTGGGGCTTGGGAGACAGCGCAGTGGAATAAGGGCTTCCCTGGCAAGCAGAAGGGCCTGAGTTCAATCCCTGGTTCCACCAAAAAAGAAAAAAGAAAAAGAAAGAAAAGAACAGAAACTAGCACCTTGCCTCGCTTGCTCTGACACTCCCCTGACAGCAATGTGAAGGATTTTGGAACCACTGAGCCTCTGCTGCCTCTCCCAGCTATACCTCTGTGAAGGTCACTGTTACTCCTCACCCTTTCTGGTTCCAGGGGTCTGCTGTCCCGGATATCTGCTGGCACGGCAGAGCCTGTGACTGAGAGCACCAGCTCCCTGCTCTGAGCTGCTCCATGCTGGGTTCTCGGCCCAGCCTCAGCTTCTGCATCTGTTAAAATGGGACAGTTTCAATTCCTACTTTATGAGTGTGCTTTGCTAACCGGGGAAAACATGCTGAGCCTTTAGCCCAGTAACAGCACATAGTGGGTGTTGGCATTAAGCCAGTCCCTGGAGTTAGAAAGCAACAGGCCGGAGTGGGGAAGAACTGAAGGTGAGGTCCTGCGAGTGGCCGGCTAGCAGGGCACAGACAGTGTAAGAGAAAGATGTCAGCGTTTGGACATCTAAGGTGCGATCTGCAAACCAAGGTAGATTTCAAATCTTGTCTGTAAGGTGTTCCAGGTGAGAGATAGGGTTTACACGGCCACACTGAGAAAGGGGCCAAGGCCGGACAAGTGGTAATTAGTTGGGTTTCTGAAAGAGAAGCAGCTAGCTCAGTGGCACAAGCGCCTGCCTGGCAAGCACAGTGTCCTGATTTGATCCCCAGTACCAGAAAATGAAAGAAGAAAGAAAGAAAGAAAGAAAAAAGAAAGAACGAAAGAAAGAAAAGGGAAGTGGAGATCTGGCCTACAGGCCCTGACAGAACCACAGGTGAAGAGAAATATAAGACAAAGAGGAGAAGGTGTTAGGAAGGGGAGAGATGGGGAGAAGAAGGATTTTGGAGGAGTGTGGTGGGTTGACAGCTGATGGTCACCTTTGTAACGCCCAGCTGAACTGAAGCAATGTGGTGCTGGGTGTGGGAGGCCCACCTGAGGACCATGGGCAACATAAAGAGGACCGGTGAGGAAGAGGCGGTGCTGTTGAGTTTCCTGGAGGGGCTCATCACACCGGCTTTCCTGATATGAACTTGGCTGTTCTCATCACTGCAGAAGTTTGGGCATTGCTGTCGCTGAGGATGGCTGTGGTTCCTTTCCGGGGAGCTCTGGTCCTTACTGTGAGTATTGCTTCCTAGCTCCAATGCAGAGCCTTCATCCCCCTGCCAGACTTTCTAGCTTCCGCCACTGACCCTTCGGCCTTCCCAGCACAGACTCTGAAACAGACTGTATGAGACATTGTGACGAGCGCTTGGCCTCCAGCTGGACCTGCCGGGGGCACTGCATGGCCCTAGGTCTTCAGCTGGACCCCTGAAGGACACTGCCATAGGATCTAGGCCCTCAGCTGGATTCGTTGGGTCTCTAGTGTGTGGATAGATCTCCTGCACTCTTTTGCATTGGATTCTTTGGGTGAACATTATGAAATAATCCTATAAATAATGTGTCCTGTATTAACTTCATTCTTTTGTAAGCCCCAAACTACAACCATCAAGTACTCGGGTCCTTGGAGCAGAAATTTACATTGGTGGTGGTGGGAGGGTGGGGCTCAGTTCTGAGTGGGGCTGAACAGTGTGGGGACCTGAGAGGAGGTGCAGTTGGGGATGTGGTATGCTTAGCAAGGGCCCTGTGTGCACAGGGAAGTGGGGGCGGGTAGGAGGGAGAGGAAGTCTGTGTTGCCCTTAATCTCCAGGGGCCCCGCTTTGCTGTCTGATACAGGTACCCACAGAGTGGCTGGGCTGCAGGGTAGAGCTGGACTCCAGCTGAGAGGAGGCCAAGGTTACCACATGGAGGTGGGGAGCAAGTCCACGGACCACAGGACCAGCTCCTAGGTGACAGGTCCCTGAGATGGTCCAGAACCAAGCTTGCTGTGTGGTGATGTGTCCAGTGTGTAGCCCTGTGAGGTGATGTTGCTGCTGCTGTGGGAACATCGTGAGAAGCGTGGACCAAAGAGCTGGGTTAGTCCTTCCTGTTGGTCACTCAATACTGGAGAGGACCAGGGACAAGGAACTCCAGGGAAAGCAAGACTGCCCCCAACTGGAGCGGCCCCAAGCCTTGGGCACAAATTGACAGTGTGTTGCCCACCTGTGCCCTCTGGGCTTGAGCAGAATGGGCCTCTGAGGCCACTGCAGGGCCACCAAGCACTGCCAGCTTCACTGTCCCACATAAGCCATGTGGTCCTAGAGTCCTTGGTTCCATAACTTGGCTGATTAAAGGAAGTAAGGCGTAGGAGAGTAAAGCAACAGGCAGCTCCCATGTGAGCCCAGCTGTGTCCACCCCCACCCACCCCATGGGCACTGAAGTGTGCACTCCTGCCTCCCAGGGTGTGCTGAGGAAGACAGGACATTCCAGTGAGGAACTGCATTTATAAAAACAACATTTAAAGCAGACAGCAAAGCCAGGCGTGGTGGCGCACAGCTGTAACCCCCTGGCCAGCGGGGAGGCTGAGGCGGGAGGATCACAAATTTGAACCTAGCCTCAGTAATTTAAAGCATTAATGATGTTGCTCTGAGCAAAGGCCCCGAGTTCAAGCTCCCATACAAAATAAATATGTAAAATAATAAAACAGACGGCAGGGTGCTACGTGGTGGCAAGGGCCTGGCAGTGACTGCAGCAGCCTCAGCGTGGTCCCTCACCGAATGTCAGTAGCACTGGGAGTGACAGGAATGCCCATCCCAGGCCCCCCAGCTGCTGCAAGTGCTCAGCCAGCCCTGTAAGACTCCTGGGGAGCCTTTCCACAGGGGGTGGCCCCGGGCAGGAGCTGCCATCCTGCCTGCCAGTTCTGGGCCCTCCCTCAGCGGCACGACTGGACAGTGAGGATGTGCTAGCTTTTGCAGACTTCTCGTTTAGAAAGGTTCCCAAGATGGTCAGGTCCTCTCCCTCCTGTCCTGCATCTGGAAGGACAAACCCAAGCTACCTCTCCAGAGGACAATTGCAGGTGACTGGGTGGCCCTGAGGAACGCAGGTGGAGATCTGTACTAGTTCCATGGGAATCAGTCCCATGGGCCTCTCTCTAGAAGTTCATGGAAGTAGCTGGGCGGTCTGAAGAGACAGACGTAATCCAATGACCTAAGTGCCCGTTAGGAATGTTAGAAGAGTAGAAGGCATCTGCGCCGGGCCAGCTTTGGCTGACCTACGAACTAAATCTCAGAAGTAAGATACAAAGAACTAGTCTGTATGTGTAGTCCCAGCTCCTCAGGAGGCTGAAGAACAGAGACCTCTTGAGCCTAGGAATTCAAGGCCAGCTTGGGGAGCACAGTGGGTCTTCGTCCCAAAGGAAAAAAAAGGGGGGAGAAAGAGACTAAGGACAGTGATGCAGGATTTCTTTAAAGAAATCTAAGGAGCTGGGTGTGGTGGTGCATGTCTGTCATCCCAGCACTCAGGAGGCTGAGGCAGGAGGATCCTTACAAGTTGGAGACCAGCCTGGGCTACAAAGTAAGCTTAAGGCCAGCCTGAACTGCACAGTGAGACCCAGTCTCAAAAAACAAAAAACAAAAAAACCCTATGTGCTAAATTCAGAGAAAGAAAAACCTGGTGGTCATTACCACACAGCTGACAAAGCCCCAAGGGAGGGAGCAAGGCAGACACTGACATTAAAAATGGTGCTCTGTGAAGACAAATGGTCTCTGTGCTTCTGCAGAGTTCGGGAAGCATCAGTCAACGGGCAGGAAGCAGAGCACGGCTACAGACACGTACAGAGCCTGTTTATTGCATAACTAGCAGGCACAAAATCCAAAACGAGTTTACAACATGTGAAGGGGCCAATAATTACAGGAACAGGATGTACAATAAAGGTGAGAAATACGTACAGAATGAGTGACACGCATAAAACACATTTGAATAAAAGGCATCTCATTTTTCCTATGCAGCATTTTCTGTGTAAGAACAAGGGCGACCTTCTACTAGGACGAGGAAGGAATGAAAGCGGGCTGTCAGAAGCTCACAGGGACCGCTGAGGATAAAAAACATGCAGCTTCGCTGTTGATCAAGGACTCGCGGTGCTGAGTCAAGGACCCAGGAAGCGGCCGAGTTGTGCGTTTCTAGTTCCAATTTCATGAAACGCTGCCCTTGATCTTTGGGCCCAACGCATTGTTCTTTGGCAAGTAAGAACTATCTGCACTCCCAAGTGGAAGATGAGCTCTGTGCCCAGGAGCTCAGGGGTAGAGCTGCTTCTCTCTGCTTAGCCAAGTGCCGGCTCATAAAGTGCACCTCTGTCTCATCAGTTTCAGGGAAGAAAGGGTGAAAACACAGGCTAAGGAGGTAGCCTGTGCAGGGCAAGGGGACCCATGTGCAAAAGGGGCCGGAGCAAGCATGCAGAGGAGGCGGGACCGGCCCACAGGATCAGGGAACTCCGACAACAGGTCTCGGGTGGGCGAGGCTATGGAAATATGCAGACATGTGGCCCTCCCACTGCCACTGCTCCACCTGGAACTCCTGTCTGAGTTTGGCACTGCAGGTTCAAACTCTTCTGTGGTGTTCTCACAGCTGCAAATACTTTGTTGGTCCCTACATTCCTTGACTTTGTGAAGGGGCATGAAGAGCACGTCCTCTGCTGCAGGCACTTGGGTGTACTGCTGACAACTCCCTTCCCAGAGCCTCTGTGGAGGTCTGTCTTCTCTGGGAGGCCAGGGGCACAGGCTCAGGATCACCACTGGGCCTTTCCCAAGGACCTTGGGGAGCCTGACAGAGGGTAGATGTTCGCAAGGAAGAGGGGGGACAGGTGAGTCCACGAAGCATGCAGACCAAGGTGTCTGGCAGTGCTTGAGCTGAAGGTAAGAGGCCCCTTCTAGAAGGCATCTATCTCCTGAGCTTCTGACAGGAATGAAGCACTTAGGCCTGCGCGGACACGTCAGTGGCTGAGTCTGCTGGAGACGTGGACCCTTGTCCCATGCCCCTCAATGTGTAGCGAGCCCAGACAGGCACACACCATGACCTAGTAAGTAAGTTGGTGAAGACAGAGGCTTGGTCAGCACATGCCGAGGTGACCTTTACTTTGATCATTTTGACTTCTTCATTAATGACTGTGAGACAGAATATATGGGTAAAAAGCAGGCTGATGGCGACTTAACAGAGGGTAGACGGCAGTCTGCCAGGTCTTGCTTAGGATGAACGCAATCTGGCTGGGGAAGTGAGGCCCTCATGCTGCACAGTACAGGCCCTGGGGGGAGCGGCGAGTGGCAGCTTGGAGATCACAGTCCCATGCAGTTTCCATGAACATGCCAACATATAATTAGAGTGGTGACGCCAAAAAACTCCAGATTTCTGGTGCCCTTCCTTGGGAAAAAAAATAAAAATTTTGGCAGCCCAAGTCCTCCTTTCCAATGGCAACATGAGTGGAGTGAGGAAACTGTTGTTCATGATAGGTGGCCAGGGCTCCTCAGCTGGCCGTACTTGTGCCCCCTGCTGCACACCAGGATCTCTTCATAGCGCCCCACTGGCTCCATCAGGTCAGGGACTGAGCTGCCGCACACAAGGCCCCAGCAACAAGCAGGACAGGACTGGGCTCTAACAGCACAAGAAAGGGCTTCTGAGTAATTTAAAACACAGCCTCAGCGTGTTCTCGATTTTGAGCTCTACTCTTTCCGAGCTTTGGGACAGTTATGGTCAGGTAGGCAGTGTCCGTGGAGTTCTGGAAAGAACTCTCATGTCTAATTGCTAAGTACCAGCAGGGTAAGGGGGAGGAGCTAAGATGACTATTTACATCTTACCTTAGAAGTCCTATGGATGACAGGACATGCGAAGCAGCTCCTCTGAGGAAGCTGTCAGTGGTTAAAGGAATAACTGAGTTGTGGAGGAGAGGTACAGCGCAGTGTCAGTTCCTGGCAGTGGTGCCCAAATGACACAAGGTCAGTCATGGCTGCTCAGACTGAGGCTTCTCTCTGCTGCATGTTCTAGATGGACTGTCCAGCTTAGCGGGTAAGGCAGAGTGCTTGACAATGGGTGACGGACGACAGGTGTGCTCCTACCCTTAACTGTGGTAAATGGGACATGACGTGGAGGATGAATCTTTCCGAGACTTCAAGACGATAGTAAAACAGAAGCAGAAAATTGAGATAAAAAACCGGAACATTTAACATGATAGAACAATGAGAAATAGAGCAATTCACTGTTTCCTCCGAGAGGCTGTTACACTAGTTTTCAGAAAATGGCAAAGTCGTTTCTCTGCATACATGCTTGGAGATACCCCAAACTGAAGAGATTTTGCAGGCTGAAAAATTTACTTATTGCACAAAGCTTTGTAGGGAACAGGTAATGTTGATTTTTTTTTTTTAAATCCAACTCTCTCAAGAAAATGTTTTACTAAAATATCTCATTTATACTTTTATCCATAAGCAGGAAGTTTTAAGAGATGGAAAAGTTTGAACCCACTTCGAGCAAGGGAACAACTTTCGGGTGTGTACGATTGTGACCTCAACAGTTGCAGACAACACAACAGGATGTCAGAAACTACTGAACTGGTAAACAGGCACAAAATAAGGCAAGTTGGTTAAATTAATAGTCAAAAATTTGTTAGAAAACATGCAAAAATAATACTGAGTTTTCTTTTAAAAAGTTTTAAATTCTCATTAAATGTTTTTGTAAAAATCTGAAGAGTTCCATGTCTAAATTTGAAAGCAGACTTTAAAAAGCCCAGAAAGCAGACGGCCAGCACTCCGCTGTTCAGTTGTTGTTCTCTTTGGTGGTGATGGTGACCAGCTGCTTGGCGGCCTTGGCAATGTCGTACGCACACTGGATGACCTGTTGTGTGACCAGCTGGACGTCAGTGGGTGAGCCGGAGTCCCCCGGGAGGGCCTTCTTGCACTCTGACTGCAGCCGGTAGGCACTGGATGTCAGTAAACGAAGGGAAGTCCTCACCATGTCAGACTTGGGTTTCTAAACACAAAAACACAGCTGTCCGTCATGGGCTGCAAGGGGAACACCCAGCAGCAAGGGACAAGCATGCCCCCGAAAGCAACACAAGCTGTTCTGCATAGCCAGAGGCATTTCTGTTCCACATGTTTTCAATGGGGGCGTGTTAACCAGGGAGTGCTCTGCAGCCCACGGTAGGAGAGATGTGGAAATGCTTGCACTTGCAGGGAGAAGCACACGCAGGGCAATTCAGCACTATGTGCTCTTTTTTTTTGTGACCAGCTCAGCCCACCCTTGGGGTGGGGCTGGCGTGGCATGTGGTGCCAGGAATTGAACTGCCGTCCCTGCACTTTGCTTAAGTTTGCCTAAGCAGGTGCTTTAGACCGCTAAGCTATCTCGCTGGCCCTATGTGCTCTTTATTTTGGGGTGGTTTTTAAAAATACTAACCCATGTAGGTTACATATGTCAGATACAATCTTTTTCTATTGATGTTTTGCCTTTATTATTCGATTGGCATACCCATCTTTTTATAATTATTTCCTAGGTTTGGGAGAGAGTCTTACCATGTAGACCAGACATGTCAACCATCTCTCCTGGCCTTTCTTTTCTTATTAAAGTCAATACTCATGTACAACAGAACTATTTCCATGCCTTATATGATTGCCTATTGAAAACTACATGCTGTAAATAGTTAATATAATTCAAGAAAGTGAGTCTGGGGTAACTTACTTTGGGGAATAATGCTGCCATCTCTGTAACAGCTACATGTATCCTCTCCGAGCAGGGAATGTAACTGCAAAATATGGAAGCGGTTGTTCAAAGACAGGCATTCTTTTAACGAAGAGGCATGGGCTACAGTCTGCCCACCATCTATCACACACCAAGAGAAAGCATACAGTTATGAAGCAGGGTCCCCGTTCTCTCCTGAAGGTGCAACCTGGTAAAAGCCATCTCCATACATGAAATGTGCCAACATTTCCTAGTAACTGGGCGAGGCCACAGAACGGTCCACAGACATTCGCGGCTCCTCAGGTCAGTCACTCCTGTCTCACATTTCATCTCCCTAATTTCCAGAAAGAAAAACAAGGATTTCCATGCCAAAGCCTACAAAAGTGAAAAATGAAGGGCTGAAAAAAAACTCCTTGAAATTAGGACTGGAATCTATACTTTTAATACCTTGGTGTCACTTCACCAACCCTTCTAAATTCTTTTCATTCAATTCATGTGAAATGTGGGGGAACCAAAATCTTGTGCAAACTGAGAACACTGGGGTCTGTTTCCCATGTTCATTCAGACACCTATGTACTTTGTCACAAAGCCAACATGTATATGTGACATGCTAACAGCACCTTCTTTCATGTTGAGGAGCTCTAAGAAAACAAACCTAAATCCTTCCTTCCAGGCCACTTGGACTTGCAGGCCCCCCACATGATGCACCTTTAGAGACTCACTTAACATCTCTATGGCCCTGTGAGGTTGGACTATTACCACAAGAGAGAGAGAGAGAGGCCAGCTCAGTCCACCAGGGGGCAGGGCTGGCTGGCATGTGGTGCTGGGGGATTGAACCGCGGTCCCTGATGCTTTTGCTAAGCTTGTTCTAAGTAGGTGCTTTAGACCACTGAGCCATCTCTCCAGCCCTACCACAACCATTTTTCAAATGAGAAAAGTGACCCAGAGAAGACATGCCCCAGTCTCAAAATGTAAGAGGGTGGCTGAGCCGACACGTGATGGCCACAGATTGACATCTCTTTATATAGCAAGCCTCTTTTCTCCCAAGAGTGGTCATCTGGCTTCCTGAGACGACAGACAACAGAATTATGATTGGTTTTATTAAAAGCCAGGTGTAGTGGTGCATGCCTGTTACCCCAACACTTGGGAAGCTGAGGCAGGAGGACTGTTATGAGTTCAAGACCAGCCAGGGCTACAAAGTAAGCTCAAGTCCAGCCCGAGCTGCAGAGTGAGACCCTGTCTCCAAAATAAAGTAAAGAAGACTGGGCGTGGTGGCGTGCACCTGTAATCCCAGTGCTTAGGAGACTGAAAACAGGAGGATCACTACAAGTCCGATCTGTGTAGTGAGACCCTGTACTAAATACAAAAATAAGAAAGAAAAATAAAGAAAGAAAAGAGAGAAAGAGAGAGAGAGAGAGAGAGAGAGAGAGAGAGAGACAGACAGACAGACAGACACACACACACACACTAATTTGCTTTACTCAGGATTTTTATTCTTAGAACTGACAAAGAATGAGCCAAGTTTCCTCATCCTTAAAAATGTTAGCTTTTCATCCTGAGTATGAAGGGCACAGAGACAGCTGGAGGGGTGTGGCTCTGGAGCACAGCAAGTGCTCAGCATGAGTAAGGCATTTAATCCCCAGCACCATAAAAAACACAATCAGATGATGGTATCAAGTGATGGTTCTTAGATATAAAATTGCTGCCAAGCCTGGGCTTTGTACTCAGGACTAACCCATAGCCCAGGATGTGGGAAAGCAGGTAGCATGTTAGGAAATGGTGCTGCGAACACTGTAGGTCTGCCCCAACACAAGAACCCATGTGGCTGTGTTTTAAATTGTTCCTTCTAACCAGATTCCATTCAGCATCCATCATAGACTTAAATCCCTCAAGGAACATTTTTATTCTGTTTTTTAAACCATGTAGTGGGGTTCTGAATAAAGATTACCATAAGCGATCACTGTACTTTATAGGAAATTGAGTATCAAAACTATTTTACTATTGCCTATATTTTAATTAAGCCATTACGTTGCAAGAAAACAGTTTATAATTATCTAAAAATGCCTTCAAATGGGAAATCCCAACTTCTACTTTTGTGAGCAATTAGAACCCAATACAACACACTAAGCCACAATGTCAATGTACAAAAAGAGACTTACAGCTGTGAAGGGACAGAAGGCCACCTAGTACAGACCCTCAGAAAGAAGGAAGGACCATGTTCACAGCAATCACTTGTTCCTAGTAATATCACAGCAGCTGAGAGCCGTGCCTAGGAGTTTCATACTGTATTTTATTTTGGTGGTTACAGTTTCACTTTGGGAAATGCAACTCACCCGTGGTCCACTAGATAGAGAAGGAATTTTCCCTAAGGCCACCTCTTGAAAGTTTACTCCTTACCACCTATTTTGGGAAGTTCTGGATAAGCCAAAAAAAAAAAAAAAAAAAGAAAGAAAGAAAGCATGTGCAGATAAGTGAGGTCTCCTCCTCTGTCAAAACAAGTCTGAGCCCACAACTTCAAGTTGGCACCATGCACCAAATAAAGCGTGTGTGCCTAATGTGTTGTGAGCCCTGAAGCAAGGAGGAGGAGGAGGAGGCAGAGGAGGAAAAGGGACTGCAGGAAGGCCAGGGGCTGAGGGGCGCTTTCTGGGCTCAGAGAACCTGGACCATGCCTTGAAGTGCCTGCATGGACTACAGTTCGACCTAAGATGCACTTGAGCAACTGATCAACAAAAATAGAAAACAGGAGACACGAGCCAGGCTTTCATGAGTACAATGCAAGACTGTAAGGGAAAGCATCTTGGATGTATAAGTAGTCAAGAGATTCTAATAGAAGTTGAACAGTGTATAACATATAAATTCCTTAGGCCAATTCTGGTTTTAAACCAGAAGCATAAGCTAGTGATCAGAATCTCTGCATCATTCCCTCATTGGCTTAAAGAAATAAATCAGATCACTTAATGTGCTAAGTGGATTTTTGCATCTTGGGAAGAAATGACTCTTCTCAAGTTGAGCCAAACGCCATATTGCAATCTTTTAAGCTACAAATAGTGTCGGGATAAATATTTGTATTTTTGACAACTACCAGAGAAAGCAATACAGCGTAAGCACATTTTTGGTATGAAATACCAGCACTGTACCTCTGAACTGGCAGAAAAGAAAATTCGAAGCCGGGAGTGGTGGTGCATGCCTGTAATCCCAACTCTCAAGAGGCTGAGGCAGGAGGATCATTGTGAGTTCAAGATCAGCCTGGGCTATAAAGAGCACAAGGCCACAGTAAACTGTGTACAGTGAGACTCTGTCTCAATAAATTAGTAATTAAGTAAATAAATAGATTTGAGCACACTGATAAATGGGGTGAGCAATTAGAACTCACACAGGAGGGAATTATCCTTGCATCAAGATTATTCAAAACACTGTCAAAACCCTACTGTGGAAAGCTATGGGACACTTCACTCTGTATAGTAAGGTATGGGTCACCCACTGCCACAGCAGTGGCCCTGGACACAGGTACTAGGTGCTCACAAGATGTGAAGTGCAAGAGCCTGGCAGAAAGAGAATGGCTAGGCAATTAAGAAGGGCAATAGCTACAAACATCCTGCAAAAAGAGGCAGTGGAATTGTGCAGGCTCTTCTTTTCTTTGAGGTGCTTCCAGCAGTCTATCCACAAAGACTTTCTTTCTGTTTTTATGTATTTAGTATAGGGTTTCACTACACAGATCGGACTCATAGTGGTCCTCCTGTTTTTTAGTCTCCTAAGTGCTGGGATTATAGGCGTGTGCCACCATGCCCAGTCTAAGACTTATTTTTCAAAGAAAACACAATATTCTCCTTATGGTGGGAAATTATACTGGAACAAACAAGAGCGGTAAAAATACGAAAAAAAGGTACAGATGGAGGGATGGCACAGCAGCATCAGGAATACAGAGAACTCCAGGCATGGATGCATCCTTTTTCTCCTTGTGTAACTGCAGACTGAAGCCAGGGCCTCATACATGCTTGACAAGCTTTGTACCACTGAGCTGCATCCTCAAGCCCTTTCCTTCTTGAGGCAGGCTCTCAAAAAGCTGCTAACTTGCCCATGCTGGGCTTGAACTTATGACCCTCCTGCTTCAGTATCTTGAGCAGCTGGGATTTCAGGCACGTATCACCAATGCTGGACACGGCTGCATCATTATGAAGCAGAGTGTGGAGTCAAGAGAGAAAGCAGTACCGTGTTCCTAGAAGGCCTTCTGTCTGCACAAAACGTGCAGCTCCTCCCTGAGCTCCTCAGCTTTGCTGACCTAATATGTGGTGTTATTCTTGGCAACGAACAACTCCTGCTTCTTCAAGCCCAAAGGGGTGGCGGTAAACAATGTTTTATGAGTATGCCTATGTCCGGCCCGCCGTGGGAAATCAGAACATCCTGCAGAACATTTCACAACTTACCAGACTTCTCCCAGAACAAAGGATCAGTACAGTAAGATCTAGTCCCTTCCTTTCAGTAAGAAAGCACTGTGGGCTATACTTCTGCTCCAGGGATCAGACTTTCCCTTCACAGCTGAGAATCTTAGAAGTTTATACATGCATGCCTGCACGCACACACAAGGAAGACGGGCAACAGGGAACTGGGTTCCTTGCAGGATGTCTTCTGCCTCAGCAACTGTATTGCTAGTGACTCTGGCAGCTGTGGTGGCCAGAAGGATCACCCCCAAGTTGTGAGGAAGCTTCTTTCCCTCTTTGCTGAGAACGAGGATTGTCACACCCTGAATGCACTGCAGTATTATTTCCAGGCATATCAGAGAGCTTCCGAACACAACAGAGAAAAACAAATACACTGTGCAAAACCCCCAAACAAGTAAAACTAAGCTTGTATGTTTGTTTTTAAGTTTTCCTCTCCCTAAAAGCCAACAAATTAGAAACAAGTGCCACTGGGAACCTGCAGTGTCCCTGTCGCAGCAGGACATGTTCTCCCAGCACAGGACCACAGCCCCTTACCTGTCATGTTTATTTTCCTGGGCTGCTCTTAAGAGCTCCTGTATGTTTTTGGTGATTTGTTCAGTCTTCCGGATGACGTCCTCAGTGCTGGGGAGTGACGCATGGGGTTCTGTTGCATCAGACACTAAGCTGTCTGCTGGCCACACCATACTCCTCTGCCTGCCCTTTCGGCCTGAGCTGTGAACGGTAGAGAAGTGGCTGAATGTGGCAGGTGCTGGGAGCTTCTCTGGTTTCTAGGAGCCACATCTGCTGCACTGGCTGGCTGTGTGGCTTCCTTATCCGGTCTAGCAGGAAACTCAAGGCAAGGCCAAGCTTCATCAACAGGCAGCTACAGCACACCCCGAGGCTTTCTCACACTGTCCTGGGGCTGGAAGGGAGGGCACTCACAGAAAGGATGAAGAGGAAAAGGAGTGAGTGGAGTGCGAAGGATGTGGCATAATAAGGCCATCTTAAGTGGAGATAATCCCTTGGGGATACAAATGGAATTCAAACTAGTGTCAACTTCACTTTGAAATAAAATACTGATTTTTAAGTACAGCACCAGTGCTGAGGAACATGTTTAACCTGCTGGCAAAAGGACAAGAAGCCACGCGGCAATAATGTCAGTTGCGAAGGCTTGGGAACTACAAACATATGCCTGAATATTGCAAGACCTTATAGGTCTGAAATAGGGTCAAGGGTCCCCTGGCCCTCAGCACTCTTCCCATGCACCTACCCCATGTCATCTGGCTCCATGTCATTGGGAGTATTGTCATAGTCACTCTCAGGGGTGCTGTTCTGTTTCTCTAGCCTGGAAGCCTACAAGCAAGAGAAGGGGATCCCATTAGTTTAGAACACAAGATGCTTCTTTAGGGAAGCATCACCTGTTGGGCACCCAGGTCTCGGTTGGGATAGGAGCCAATCCTTTACAGAAAATTTAGTAGAAGATGAACAGTGCAACCACAATAGCTTCTTTCTGCACTGCTTTCTTCTGAGCTTAGTGGGCATAAACAGATCCTTGGTACCAACAAGACGCCAACAAGACATGCAAGGTTGTCTCATTTAGCTCTCAAAAGAATATGGAATTTCTAAGAATATGGAATTTCTAAGAGAATGAGACCCAGGTAAATAAGCAGACATGGTGATGCATGCCTGTGATCCAAGCCTTTCAGTAGGCTGAAGCAGGAGGATCTCAAATTCAAGACCAGCCTAGGCAACAACAAAACCTGTCACAAAATAAAATATTTTAAAAAGGGGCTGGGAGTGTAGCTCAGTGGCAGACAGCTTGTTTAGCACATGCAAGGCTGAATGCACTCCCCAGTATGCAGGAGAGGGGTTGAGCAGACACCCCAGCACTTATATGACCACTGACATTCAGTGCTGAAAGCTACCTGCAGATTACCTGGATTAGTACCAGACAAGAAAATGAAGGGCCAAAAAAGTGAGGTATAAGGCTGGGGAGATAGCTCAGTGGAATAAGTGCTTGCCTGCAAGGTCCAGAGTTTGATCTCTGGTACCACTGCCAGGCCCCCCCACAACCCCCCCAAAAAGGCAAGGTGTCCACCTAAGGACACATCTCTGGAAAAACAGAAGAACCCAGGCCCCTGTCTCCTCTTCAGGTGTCTCCAGTGTTTCATAGCTGGCTGGGGCCTAGATGACTGCTGCCATTCAAGGCACAAGTGGCTGAAAACGCCTTCAGAGATGCTCTTAGGAAACACTGGGAAAAACTTACACTATTGGTGTAAGTAGCTATATGTTGTTTGTGAACCAAAATGGATTAACCTGGATTGATACTCAGTGTCAAACCACTTGTATCTGCTTCCCAAAATACCTACCTCTTATAAAATAGGGATCTGGTACAACTGTGGAGATTTTAAAAATGGAATATAGATGTAAATGAGGAGTCCTAAAAATATTTTGAGCAAATGGCAGCACTGCTAAACCTGAGCTGCCCAGGGTAACAAAACGTGAAGGGAACTGTATTTCTGGGGCTATGTTAGGCTGGGCATGGTGGTGCATGCCTATAATCCCAGCAGGCTGAGGCAAGAAGGCTGCCAGGTGTTTGAGGCCAGTATGGGCTACATGGTGAGTTCAAGACCTGCTTGAACTATATGATAAGACTCTGTCTAGGAAAAAAGAAAAAAAAGTATGACACTTGTTATGTTAGCTTCACTCCACTCCACTATGTTAGCTCTGAATGTTTTGTGAAAACTACGTCCTCTTGGTAACTATTTTACACATATTTTTTTAAAGTTAATCTTTTTTTAAATATTTATTTATTTTTATTTATTACATTTATTTATTGTGTGTGTGTGTGTGTGTGTGTGTGTGTGTGTGTGTGTGGCCAGCTCAGCCCACCAGGGGGCGGGTCTGGCTGGCATGTGGTGCTGGGGATCGAACCACGGTCCCTGTGCTTTGCCAAGCTTGTTTCAAGTAGGTGCTTTAGACCACTGAGCCATCTCTCCAGCCCTAAAGTTAATCTTTTAATTTTTTTTTTTTTAATCTTTACTGAGGAGACGGCTCAGTGGAATAAGCACTTCCCTGGCAAGCGCAAGGGCCTGAGTTCAATCCCTGGTTCCGCAAAAAAAAAAACAAAAAAAAAAAAACCTTACAAATTTGGTACAGGGTCTCACTATGGAGCTCAGATTTGTAGCAATCCTCTAGTCTCAGCCTCCCCAGCACTGAGATTACAGGCATGTGCCACCATGCCCAGTTTCCATGGCGGGCAAGGCGTGCCCAGGGTTCCAGGGCCAGCATGGTATGCAGCACAGGGGATCACACCTGGGTCTTTGCTCTTGCCAGGGAGGTGCTTAGACCACCGAGCTATCTCCCTAACCCTATACATAATATTTTGAGAATTTTTTCATCTGGAACAGAAATTGGTGTGAGTCGATTTGATTACCTTGTAGTACCTTGTAAAATACAAGAGCTATTTCTAGCCCTATACCTTGAATTTAATCCAACTTGGTCAAAATATGTGACTAAGAACCTTTACTGATGGTGTAGTACAATGAGGCTAAGCTAACTGTAAGTTAAGAGCTTTGCTCCAAAACATGGAGACACAGGGCCAGGGAGATGGCTCAGTAGAATAAGTGCTTGCCTGGCAAGCGCAAGGGCCTGAGTTCAATCCCTGGTTCCACCCAAAACAAAACAAAACAAAATCACCTCAGAAACAAATAGCAAAACATGGAGACATCCTAATTTTACCCAAAAGAATGGCTACTTCAGAGTAAGTCAGATGAAAGACAACTACATAAGGCCTGATTATTTGCTCACTGCTGATAATCCTGGCCAGTCCCACTACACCACATTTTGCTTGCCGGCCACACAGCCTTACTTTTCTCTGCTCCTAGGTAAATACTGTCTGCTGAGACCCTTCCCATTTGCTACTCAGATGTGCTTAGTTCCTACTCACCCCACTAGAAGATTCTTGCTCTGGGATCCTAAAACTCACCATAAACTCTTAAACTTATGTACTCTAATTCAACTAGCAAAAGATTGAAAGCACTGGGTAAGAGCCATCTAGGGAGTTCATAAGGCTAACTTCTGCAGAAGGATTCTTTCTTTCTCCCGTGCTAAGGATCAAACGTAGGGCCTGTGAACACTAGGCAAGTGCTTTACCAAGAAAGTACATCCCAGCCCAGCTACAAAGTTAAGATCCCTTTATGTCCATCTCTTCCCTATAAGTAGTTTTGCTTCACTTGCTGCCCAATTTTGATCTGGCTTTACGAGAGAATCAATGGGTTACTGGTTAGACTGGATACCATATCCAGTGCCACAAAATCAGGGTCATACAGGTAGGAGCTCAGAAAACCAAAACACCCCCTCCCCAGCCCTCCTTACCTTTCACAGGGAATGTTTGACTAATCTTTACATTTATTTTCTTTGTGTATACATACACACAAAAATAGTAAAAGAATTGCACCTAAACAATTATATTGGAAAGTTCATCCAGAGTTGCTCCGCTGGGGGGAAAATCTAGAAAACAGATTTAAACCTGGAAAAGTCCACATTTTTATAATCAATCTTTTCTTCTTCCTTGTTGTAAATTTAGTGATTACAAATCCAATGCGATACAACAATTACAAAAATGCCAAATTTCATTTAAACAATTTCATGTAAAAAAATGCCAAATTTCATTTAAACCCACAAGTACTCAGGAAATGTTCCCTGAGTACAGCCACCACCACCCAGAAAATCGGCTACTCACACATTGAGTCCTACATTGATGTCAACAAGAGCATTCACAATTTCAATGAAGTCAGTGTTTAATTTTATGAAAATTACTGTGAACATGCAGAGCCAAGAGTTACTGGTTAAAAGTGCTGCTCCCAAAGCTGTTAATAGAAAAGTTATTGTATAGCTGGTGCTGGTTCATTCAGTTTATCTGATGGCTTTGCTATGATTTTTGAATACAGATATGCCAATAAAAATTTTAAAACCATGATGGCCAGGGACGATCAGTTTAAATGATTCTACTGTCAATTTTGTATAAAACTATTTCAGCAAGCAGTCCTTGCAATGCTTTTTGAAACTATTAATTTTTTTAAAAATGCAAAAGGGACAAAAGAGGTTTATTTGATTCTTATTAACAAAATTTCAAATGAAATATTGCATTATTATTGTGCTGCCCTTAGTTTTACTGGAATGAAATTATTATAGGTCAATGTCAGTTTTTTGTTTGGTT